ACAGTTGCTGGTTCTTATGGCTACATGGCACCTGGTAATTTAGTACTGTTATATGTATCTTGTCCACTGCCCATTCCTTATTCTGCTTTAGTGTATCTGCTCTTCCTTTGGAAGTATATAACTGCTTTTCTGTAACTGCGTTTTGAGACAACATAACAAGTTACTTTTTTCGGAAATGCAGAGCTAGCACTTACAATGAAGGTTACAGAGAAATGTGATGTTTATAGCTTCGGAGTGGTGGCATTGGAACTAATGATGGGACGGCACCCGGGAGAGTTCATATCTTCACTTTCGTCCTCAACAACAACAGCAGCAGCATTGCAAAGTAATCCCGATCTGTTTTTGAAAGATCTGCTCGACCAACGGCTTTCACCTCCTACTGGCCAAATAGCAGACGGAGTGGCATTTTTAGTAACCCTTGCATTAGCATGCACACAGGCCTCGCCAGAGTCGCGGCCTAACATGCGTTTTGTTGCACAAGAATTGTCAGCTAAGACTCAGGCTTACTTTCCAGAGCCACTGGGAACAATAAAAGTTAGTAAACTAACAAATTTCCAGAAATAGGTGTTGAGCAAGAGTGTTTTGAAAATCTTAGAATATAATCATCACTTGTATTGTACAGCATAATTTTATCAACGCACTGTATCATATAGTAGGGTATGGGTGTACAATTATGCAACAAAATTATCCTTCAGCTTCACACGTAGCATATCACATGCTGAAAATGGATGCATTCTTCGTTTTAGCCATCATAGATATTATAATTGATAATAAAGCAATTGATGCTGATGATCTGATTCTATTTAGAAAATATAAAGCAGGTAGAAAATTATAGAATTATGAACATGGATCAACTATTAACATGGCAGCACAATGCACCACTACTATGACCAAGTTTTTCTTCTCTGACATAGTTGAGCACAAATACAGAGATCGATGCATATAATATAACAGGTTGATTGGAGCAGAAAAGGAGTACTAGCATTAAAAATAATCTCCAAACTTGAGATGAAATCATAATTTGATATACATATGTAGAAATCTGGTTTTAATTGTTGATTGATTGATGTACCATATTTAGGATGAATAGGATTGATTGATGTACCATACTTAAACTTTCCATAGTTTGGTAGGCTAATTAGCTCTCTCCCAATCAATTTCACACAATCATTTGTGTGTTTTTCTCTTCATGGTATTAGAGCTAGGTTCCAAATCAACCTAACAATCAATGACAACCAACACTAGGGATTCTACAACTTCTGATTCCTCTCTAAGTGAGGCAGAAATTATCTCCTCGATGAGCTCCAATAATGTCGAAAATCCTTCTTTACTACTCTGTGTCAAAAAATTGAATGGAAGGAATTTTCGAGCATGGGCTCAATCTATCAAATTGATAATTGAAGGCAAAGGAAAACTAGGTTACCTCACTGGTGACACCAAGCAGCCGATTAAAACCACTCTTCCTCAGAAGTGAAGATCTGAGAACGCCATGATAAATGCATGGCTCGTGAATTCCACGATTCCATCCATAGGGAAAACTTCTTATTTCCGTCGACAGCAAAGGAAGTATAGGAAGCAGTGAAAGAAACCTACTCCGATGGAAAAAATGCGTCACATATTTTCGAAATAAAAACGTGGCTGTGGCAAACCAAACAGTTAGAAAGGGAGGTCACAGATTATTACTTGGAGATGACTAATTTGTGGCAAGAACTCGACCTTAGCCTTGATGAGGAATGGGATTGCCCTGGTTATAGCATCCTCTACAAGAAGAGGGTCGAAAATGAGCTGCTTTTCGAATTCCTTGCTAGTCTCAATCGCAAACTGGATGAAGTAAGGGGGAGAATCTTAGGCCGTTGACCCCTACCATCTACTCGGCATGATTTTTTAGAAGTGAGAAGAAACTCGTAGATAAATCATTTTTTGAAGTGTGGGGATTCCGACATCGCCATGGAGCCTTTTGGGACGGTGTCGAGAGGATATCGGCATGGGTCTTCTAGTTACGGGCCAACTAGATTGACGAGAAATAGTGGGCTTACATGTAACAGGCCTAACGGGTCAAGCACTAATGGGCCAAATGGATGGCCTGAAAATTGTATAATGGGTCAGGTGAAACTGCTGGGACACTTAGGCCTACTTGAAATAATATTAGGTCTGGAATAAATCTTTCAAAAAGCCAAAACAAAGAGAAAGACCTTGGTGTGATGAACACTGCCGTAAACCATGAGATAAGGAAGATACTTGTTAAGATAAAATGGGAAGCCCATCGACTGAAAACCAAGACAAAGTACTAGGAATCGAGGCTATCATGCATCAATTAACTTAGCTGAAAATTCTAAGGAAAATAATTCAATTCCAGGTACATTTAATTCTGAACAATTGGAATAATTGCATCAACTTTTCTCCGACCTTCAAGCTTTGGGTCAACATTTCACTCACACCCCTTCAAGTTCATTAGCTCACAAAGGTAATCACTTAAGAGCCTTGACTATTTCCTCAAAATACAAAATTTCATAGATCATTAACTCAGATGTGTCCGATCACACGACTGATTCCTACCACCTTTTCTCCTCGTGCTTCCCATGTGCTGGCAATATTAAAGTTAAGATTGTAGATAGGACATTTTCAACCGTTGCAGGAAAAGAAAGTATCCAAATATCTAAATCTATAACTCTAAAAATCGTACTTCATGCTCCAAGGTTATCTTGTAATTTGTTATCCATTAGCTAGTTAACAAAAACTCCCATTGCTCCGCTAAATTTTTTCTATCTCATTGTATCTTTTAGGACCTATCATCAGAGAAGATGATTGTCAATGCTAAAGAGTACGATGGACCTACTCTTTTGAGGAGGCAGATATGAATAACCAAGTCAAATTGCAATTTGTTATTCTGCATTTACCTTTAAGGGTAGTGAAATTTTATTATGGCATTATAGAATGAGGTACCCCAATATACAATATCTAAAACGTGTATCCCATCTATTTTTTTGAATAAAACTATTTTTGACTTTCAATATGAGATTTGTGAAATCACTAAACACCAACGTAGTGTATATTCGAAATCTATATACAAACCATCTAAACCATTTACTATGATCCATAATGATCTATAGGGACCCTTACAAATCCCAAATCACACTCACACAAGATGGTTTACTACATTTACAGATGATCATAGTCGAGTTTGTTGGGCTTCATCCCGAAAGAAAAAATTGATTTTCGTTCAGTATTCATCAACTTTCACTCGATGATTCAAACACAATTTCAAACACAAATTTAAATCCTCCGAACTAATAATGGTGTCGAATACTTCAACATGTCCTTAAAAGACTACAATAAAAAATATGGGATAGTCCATTAGAGCTCTTATGTCGACACTCCTCAACAAAATGGGATTACCGAATGCAAAAGTAGACACCTCCTTGAAGTTGCTCGTGTTTTGATGTTCACTACAAAAACGTCAAAAACATTCTGAGAAGACGCCACTTTAACCTCTACCTACCTTATCAATCGAATGCCTAGTCGCACACTCAACTTCGAATCACCCTCCAAAAACTTCAAGGATTCTTTCCTACCTCACGATTACAGTTAGAACTATCTCTCAAGATATTTGGTTGTACTGCATTTGTCCATATTCATTCTCACCATTGAAATAAACTAGATCCTCGTACAATTAAATGTGTATTCATTGGATGCTTAGTCACTCAAAAAGGCTATAAATGCTAGGATCCAACCACAAAAAGAATATTTGTAAGTCTTCATATCACATTCTTTGAAAAAGACACCTTACTTCCAAAAGCCTTATCTGTAGGGAAAATTTTGAGTGAAGATGGGTTCATCGATTCTGATCTCTCTCTCTCTCTCTCTCTGAACATATCTCAAACACATATTCAATTTTCAATTTACCACATATAGAACAAAACTTGAACTCAGGGGAATATAGGAAAACAAAAGGATAATGAGATACTCGTTTACTCAATGAAGCTAAAACCAAATGAGAACCTCATACTTGAAGCACCAAAAGCGTTGGAACCGGTGATAGCTCCAGATTCTTATGAGTCCAAATCTCCAGATATCAATCTACCCATTGCACTCAGAAAACAAACTAGGTCATGTACTCTTCACACCATCTCTAAATTCATATCATATAATGCTTTATCTATAGCAGTTCCAAGAAATATTTAGGATGCATTAAAATGTCCAAAATAGAAAGAAACAATGATGGAAAAAATGCAAGCTCTACCTAAAAATGAAACTTGGGATGTTATGGATCTACCGAAAGGAAAAAGACCCGTGGGTTGTAAATGGGTATTCAATGTAAGATATAAGGCTGATGAGACAGTGAAAAGATACAAAGCCCGCCTTGTGGCAAAGGGGTATACACGAACCTATAGCATAGATTATACAGAGACGTTTGTACCAATGGCAAAACTCAATACCATACGAGTCTTCTTGTCTTTGGCAACCTATAACCTATTTAGATTGGTTATTTCAACCACTCGACATTAAAAATGCATTTTTAAATGGAGAATTTGAGGAAGAAGTCTTCATAGCACTGCACCAGGCAACTATCAAAATGTAGAAAATAAAGTTTGTAAACTCAATAAAATTCTTATATAGTCTCAAGCAATCTCCAAGAGCATGGTTTGATCAATTTGCTAAAGTGTTGAAAAGTCAAAGGTATTAGCAATGACGGTTAGATCACACCATGTTATTCCAACAATCGAAGAGTGGTAAGAAAATAATTTTAAATGTATACTAGATGATATAGTCCTAACTGAAGACAAATAGCAGAGATAGAAAGATTGAAGAAACACCTAGCAATGGAATTCAGGGTAAAAGACCTAGGAGAAATGAGATATTTCTTGGGAGTGAAAGTCGTACGGTCAAAAAGAGGTATCAATGTCTCACAATGAAAATACATTCATGATCTCCTATCTGAAACAAGCATGCTTGGATGTAAACCAAGCGATACACCAATTGATACAGAAAGGAAATGAGAAGATGCTGGAAAACTAGTCGAGAAAGATAGATATCAACGACTAGTAGAGAGATTAACCTATTTGTCTCACACTAGACTAGACATTGCATTTGTGGTAAGTATGGTAAGTCAACATATACATTCACCAAAGGAAGCTCATTTGGAAGCAGTATATCGAATCCTCAAATATCAGAAAAGCTCTTCTGGAAAGGGACTATATTTCAAGAAAAATGAAGGTAAGGAAATAGAAGTATTGACAGATGTTGATTGGGCTAATTCCATAGAAGATAGAAGATCAATTACTAACTACTGTACATTTGTACGTGGAAACTTGGTAACTTAAAGAAGCAAAAAACAAAATGTAGTAGCAAGAAATAATGCTGAAGTCGAGTTTAAAGCTGTTGCGCACGGAATATGTGAAAAGTTGTGTTTAAAGAAACTGTTGGAAGAAATACATGTCTCTGTAAAACTTCCCATCAAACTATACCATGACAGCAAGGCAGCCCACAATATTTCCTGAATCTAGTACAATACGATCGACCCAAACGCGTTAAGGTAGACAAATACTTTATCAATGAAAAAGTCGAATATTGAATTATTTGTATGACGTATATCCCTACAAAAGAACATTATTTATGGTGGATTTTATTATTATTCTCATTGTTTCCTTATTCTTCCATTCCTTAAATAGCATGTTTGAGTAGAGGAAAGTGTCCAAACCCCTTCCCCAAGCAGATAATTTCGCCCCTCTATTCTCCTAATTTCTTTCCTTCCAGTGAAAGCCTAAAATTTTAAACCATAAACCAAGAGAATGAAGTATAAGAGAATAAACTTAAGCTCCCATAATTCCCCTCTCACATGTTTCACGCTCTTTTCCTGTCTCCCTCTTGGTCCTTCTCTGCACACACACACACAATTTTCTCTCGAGAAGCAAGAGAAAGTGAGTTTAGAAGGTGATTTCAGAGGCTCATTTTCAAGAATTTCACGTTCCTTTCATGAAAAACAACATGGTAGGAATACATGTACATGTAGAATAAATTCTTTTTATAGTTGTAAATTTTTGTGAAATATTTCATGCTAAAGGATGTTTTTGTAATCATCCGAAAAAGAAAGAAGTATAGAAAATTTGGTTAAATAAAGAAAGAATTTTATTTATTTATTTATTTTGTGTTCGTTTTATCTTTCATTACTGACCATAAGAAGAAAGAATTGGGGTCATTGAACCCTTGAGCTCACCGGAATAAGAAGTGTGATATGATATTTTACATAAATTTCAGCTTTAATTGTGGTGGCACATACAGACAATGATATTCCTATTGAGTTTTATTCTACAAAACTTGGGAATCGTTTGTTTTGTGTTTCAATTTTAAATTTTATTTTTTTGTTGGAAAAACGTATTAATCTTATTGGTTTAGACTGATTTTT